TATGGAACAGCGTTCCCTCCCAGGAAAGAGAGTTGCCGATCACTGTAAATACAGGTTTAGGCTGACCACGATGATTGGAGGCATTGGAGGTTCTGGTTCGCTTCTATCCGCCGTTCTGACAGTCTGACCGCTGCTGCTGTGTGTCCCGGCAAACAGAGCCAAGATCCAATTTTGATGGTCAAAGGGATGTAAGGGAACAGGTCGGGAATACTGGGTGTTGGTGGTACTATTCCCAGAGTTCCCACAAGAGTTTCCATCTCACCGGAATAGTCGATCCTTTGAAGAAGTGACGGGAACCACAATTCATCCTCGTCATCCTTGTGGCTTGATATCGGATATCTTTCGAGATGTGGCTCTCTGTGGCTCCTCGATATGGGGCTTTCTCGAGTTCCTCGTGGGCTGGGCTTGAGGCTCAATCTATTTCTTGGCATGCATATCCTGGTCTCTGGGACCTACACTAGACACCTTTGTGCCAATTCTGCCCGGGATTGGATCCCACCCCTGAATGGACACGGATTGCGAAAAGAAAACGTCGGCGAGAGGCATTAGCCGCCCATTTCTCATATCAGCCCGTCCAAACTAATCCCATTCGAGGCATCCGGCTGCCCACGTTAACCCAGACTCGAAACACTAAGGAGAGACAACCCGCACCAAGCAGAAATGGCGTGTGTGTTTTTCTGCTTCCGATTGACTTTCTCTCCCTCCGCAGACCAGGTCCTGAAAAAAGGTTTCTTTTTGCTGTACGGGGGAGAACTGACTGCCGTCACAATACACGTGTAACCGAAAAGTAAAAATCAAAGTCCACGAAGGAGCTTGGGCCAAATAAATGGAGCCTGCCTACCGCGGTTTATGCTTAACAGATCTTATCCCTTCTCAGGACGACATATCATGTCACATTGTCACACGTAGAGTCGGAGACAGGCCGAGGCTAGAAGCTTGTTAGCTTATTTCTCACGACCCATGATTTTTTCTGATTTACTGGGTCTCTCTGGAGTCTGACTGAGTATGGATGTCCACGCGCGTATTACTCTTCCATGTCTGTGCCGCGGTGCGGCGTTTGCGGCTTGCCCAGGTTTGCTAATGCCAACAAATGCCAGGGAGTACGCCATCAACCGGGAAATTTCCAACCGTTTCATCGGAACGACTTATGGAGAGCCTAGAGCGTGGTGCTCTGCATGTTGGAGCTCCTTTTCTCGGATCCCATGTGTCCTTAGTGGCGGAAATTTCTCTGAACCCATGTTTGGCACCTTGCAGACGGAGCGTCTCTCCTCCTCAAAAACGAATGGTACCCTAGGAACGCGAACTGCCGCTCGTGGACATGAGTACTGACTGGTTTAGACACCCCGTGACATCTCACTGCAGCAGGTCCTTTCCGAGCTCCATCGCTGGCAGTCTTTAGTCTGCCTCCGGGCCCTGGGGCAGCCACATTTCCCAAGTCCCGCCCCTCTCCCCCATAACGCGGCCCTACCAGCGGAGATCTCTGTTCGTCTTTTCATTGATGGAAGTGACGCCACAGATGAGTGCGAGGCCGTGCGAGACCCGCGAGCTAAGCCGAACGTCTTCGTCGACGGGCTCGATTCGGATTGTGCCGCCGAAGCTATCACCGCAACCCCGGGTCAGACGGGGTGACGTGGTAGATGAAGGGGTTACAGAGCGCAGCAAATCCCCACGAATCAGCGGAGACTACCCACCACTCTATCCCTCGAACAAGTCGGCTCCGGCACCTAACGCCATGATTCTTCGGAAAGTAGTGTGGGTGGATTAAGCAATGTTCCTCGGCCGACTGCGCAATTGGGGGTGTGCTTTTCTTTGGAAGGCCTAGAAGGATGAGGAGCCGTGAGATGAGGCCTTCGTCTGGCCCTGCTGGCGGGGGGCTATCTTGAAAGGCTTCATGGTTAGGGGGCTACTCTATCCGTACTACCTGGGAAAGGAGAAGGAAGACATGGAGGAAGGGGGTTCGTTGAAGGAGCGGCGTCGAACAGCGGCACAGTTTCCAACAAACATATATAATCGACCTTGAGCCGCGCTCTTTGACTTGGAAGCTCCTTCTTACTCCAGCGGCTTTCGTCCTCTTGTCTCTCTTTCACATCCGACCAAAACCTATTCGTTCTTTTGTATCTACGTTTTTATTCTTCTTGTTCAAAAGCCTTCTAACTATGAGATCTGCTCTTCTCTCCGTGGCACTGGCTGCCTTCGCCCCCTTGGCTCTCGCAGCCGACGCCGTCTCTGGCGCCGCTGAGGGCTTCGCCAAGGGAACCACCGGTGGTGGTAGCGCCACTCCCGTCTACCCTTCCACCACCTCCGAGCTTGTCTCCTACCTTACCGACTCCTCCGCCCGCGTCATCGTCTTGACCAAGACCTTTGACTTCCGCAACACTGAGGGCACCACCACCGCCACCGGCTGCGCTCCTTGGGGTACGGGCTCTGCTTGCCAGACTGCCATCAACAAGGACAACTGGTGCACCAACTACCAGCCCAACGCCCCCAAGGTCTCCACGACGTACGTAGAGAATCACTTACATCCTGCGGATATACTGTGACTTTCATGATACTTACGTATTCTCTTTACAGCTACGACAAGGCTGGCTTGAACCCCATCAAGGTCGGCTCCAACAAGTCCATCATCGGACAGGGCAGCAAGGGTATTATCATTGGCAAGGGTCTCCGCATCACCGGCGGCGCCAAGAACATCATCATCCAGGTATGAAGACTCATTCCACTCTATTGGTCACTATCATACCGGTCAGGGACTAACTACCGGTGCTAGAACATCCACATTACCAACCTGAACCCCAAGTACGTCTGGGGTGGTGATGCCATCACTCTCGACGGCTCCGACCTCGTCTGGATCGACCACGTCAAGACCTCCCTGATCGGTCGCCAGCACATCGTCCTCGGCAACGGCGCCTCCAACCGTGTCACCATCTCCAACAACGAGATTGACGGCTCTTCCTCCTGGTCCGCTACCTGCAACGGTCACCACTACTGGGGACTCTACTTCACCGGCAGCAACGACATGGTCACCTTCAAGAAGAACTACATCCACCACACCTCTGGCAGAGCCCCCAAGGTCGCCGGTAACACGTACGTATTATTCCTGCCAGTCTCGGCGCATGCCTCGAGAACATGGTGTGCTATCGAACTTGCCAACTAACAAAACTCCATCACAGTCTCCTCCACGCCATCAACAACTACTGGTACGACAACTCCGGCCACGCGTTCGAGGCCGATTCCGGTGCCAAGATCGTCGCCGAGGGCAACATCTTCCAGAACGTCGTCGCCGCCTACCAGACCGGTCTCGCCGGCCAGATCTTCGCCTCCCCCGACTCCACCACCAACGCAAAGTGCTCCACCAACCTCGGCCACGCCTGCCAGCTCAACGCCTACGGCTCCAGCGGCACCCTCGTCGGCTCCGACACCTCCATCCTGGCCAACTTTGCCGGCAAGAACGTCGCTACTGCCGGCACCGCCAACGACGCCAAGGCTGTTACCACCAGCGCCGGCTTCGGCAAGCTCTAAGCGCTCTCGCTTGGATCGCTTGCTCCTTCCTTATCTCTCCTGTTGGAGCTTCTCAGTGGTTGTAATTGGGGGAGGCGTTGAGTCGGGTACACGCAAAGAGACCAACGACAGATTCATGTACATATCTTACTACTTTACCGTCGAGGACGTAAATATCATGCTTGATGCATCAAATTTTGCACATATCCACGCAAAACATACAGCTCCTGAGTTTCATGCATGTGAAGATTATTGTGTCAATTTGATCAAGCACGGTGCTTCGCGATTCAAGGTATCTGTGATCTCCATGACATAGACTAGAACCTCATACATTCCAGAATATTTTGAATAATTACTAAGTACCCCGATGCCTTTCCATTCATACGAAGATTCAATCTTGGCTCACTGACGGGCGTTCAGAGCTCGTGGGCATCACAGGCTACCACATGAGTGGCTAAAAACTGACCTATTCTAGGTAAGGTAAGGCAGAAATATGCAGGGTCATCTGAAGTACATTTCATATGTTGTTCATGCCTTTTTCTCTTCTTCGGGCCCCCCTTTTTTTTTTTACTACATACTACACACAGCCGGCGTAATGAAGGCAGAACTGCTTCATACAGCAGATAATAAGTCCAAGAACAGGAAAGAAAAATGCAAAAACACCAGGAGCCGACTGGACCAGAGGCCACCAGGCCCGATATCTGTTGTTAGAGTGGGAAGGCACTAACTATTTGATAAGGCCTACCGGTTGAGTCCCAATGTGTGACGTGTCTGCCGGTGATTCAGCACCCTTTTACATACGTAGTAATCATGGAATATGTAAGCGACTAAATCAATAGCACATGCCTTGGGCAACCTAGTTCTAGACATTTGTGAAGTTATAGAAATGTCCTTAAGCCAGTCTGCTTCCTTCGATCCATCTTGGTTAGAGGCTCCAGGAGGCAAGTAGGCATTGAGTGATCTATCATCCTAGGCACTTGACCCGAGGTATTTTCCTTCATGGCACATGGTTTCCATCGTCAGTCGTCATTTTGAGCAGATGCTGTGGATCTCGGCTACGGCGGGCGGAGCGGCACCCGGAGGGCCGGGGGCCGCCCCGTTCCACTAACACATACGGAACCTAAGCCCCCGAGGTGCCCCACCCGGACCCGAAGCCCTAGGACTTTAGCTGGCTTCCGTATCTCCCGTATTCACAGACGTACACCGACAAAAAGGTGTCATAAGACCACCGGCGAAAGAAACTTAATATCCTGGATCATAAAGCCAAATTTTCCGGCATCCTCCTTGGAAAAATTTTCTCCTTTTTATCAAATCAGTCCAGACTACCCACTTACCAAGACTTTTCTTTTCCACAAAGACCTGTCACTGCGGCAAATATCAAGACGTCCAGCGAACCAAATTGATACTATTTCTACAATCTCAATTCTACACAGTGAGTCCCCTTTATACACGAGTGTCAAATTACAAAATCCCTAACATTGGCAGCAGATAAGACGCCCAATATGGACACCGGCCTCATCTTACTTGCCATCTCTGCCGTACTCTTCGAGGTGGTCGTCATCGTCTCATGGTGGTGCACCATGACGCCCCGCGGCTCCGCTGACGGCCCCGAAAACGACGCTCGGCGCGAGGAACAAGAACGCAGGGAGGGAGCAGCGCGTAGAATTCGGGACTTCGAGGAGCAGGAGATGAGGCGCGAGGTGGACAAGAAGTGCGAGGAGCAGCGCAAGCAAGACGCCGAAATGATTCGCGAGCTCGCTCGGAAGACCGCTTCGTTGGGGCAGGCGGAGGAGCGCGATGCTAACAAGGCCCCGCTGCTTCCGCAGGATGAGAAGAATGAGATGTTATGAACGGGTCTAGGCACTATAGGAATACTTGTTTCATGTACTCCAGTATAAGGTAGCGGAAAGGGATGATTTTATGGCAGCAATGAGCAGACAAATCACTCTTCTTTCAACCACCACCTTACTGCGACCCTTAGTGTCGTCTTCAAGGAAAAGGTTCAGAGTGAATAACGCTAGATAAGAAGAATAGTAGCCACAGGTATAAGAGTAGCGGTAGAAAACATGGGTAATTGCGCAGGGGCATGCGGGTTACTGGATAGTTTGCCGCTCAATACATTCTTAGTTTCCATTGATGTTACCACTACTGCTTTGAGCACCAGTACAGCATTTATCAGTACCGTGAAGAGAACGCCTCCTTTTTTACTAGCAAGACGTGTCTTTCTATTCAAGTAACTCTGTTGGTATCACAGGCGTGATACATTTCCTCATGAGGGTGTATCTTCGGCAACAATCACGTCGATGTCCGTGATAATTGCTGTTGTTGTTCTTGTTACTTCCTATTTTACATTGTGGGCAGGGGTCGGTCGAAGTAGGTGGGGACGGCCTGGGTGGTTGCCCCACCTTAACCGGCCGTGGTGACTAAGCCAGTTGTCCCACTTCGCCCAGGGCAGGCGCCAGCCAGCCCACGATACCTGCCCATTGCTCCTTATCAGCCTTGCCGTTCCGACAAACTCAAAGCACCAAGTCAGGTGGGCTTCATCAAAGAGATTCCGTGTTGAGCTACCCAATGACACCCACAAGCTTACTGCCAAGAGAGGCCCAACTCCAACTATCCATCAGAATTATCCCGGGTTCCTTCACGTCGCAATATGACCATCGCTCATCCCATGCCCCAATGCATTGTTATCACTATGTGGATGTGTCCCCCCCCCAGCATACCCCGCCTCCAAACTCTCAGTGCGTCACACTCAGGGTCTCCTGGCCGGAACTCGGCACCAATGCGTCGCCTCGGTTCTGTGATGATGGGAAACTCCTCACCACTCGCGTTTTGTATGCTCAAGAATGCTCAGGTCCAGAATCTTGGCCTGAACCAGGTTGCTCCAACATCTGAGGGTCCTTTGACAATTTAGGATCCTTCGAAATATTGGGGTCCATGTACTCCGGATTGTCCAATTGTCCGAAGGTGTAAATGAGCCAGCTGTCGAAAAGTTCAGGCGTCCAATGGTGGGGAAACCAGCCGTGGAAGTATTGCATCTTTGGCAATGAGATTTCGCCCCAGGGATGAGGCGGCTTATCCCAACGTTGGTAGACCCTGAGAGGTTCCTTCCTCTCATCGTCGATCAGGGCGTCGACATAGTCAATCGCCACAACGCGAGGCGTTTTGAGAACCTCGTCTCCGAGTTTACCTGTGAGGAGAATGTTTTCGGGGTCGAGACGCATATTGACCCCGTGATGAAGCATGTTCACGTAGCCTTTCAGAAGCGTCACGAAGACTTCCAAGCGAAGCTTCCTGTCGAAGCACCACTTGGTACCATCGGCCATCTTAGGCAACATCCTGTTGCGAGGAACGAGAAGGTATTCTTTAGCAGTCCGGAAGCAAAGCTCCTCGATGCTGGTCCCTTCAATGTACTCTATGATGATGGCTCTGGAGAATCGCTGCTTGTCTTCAACATCCGAATTCGTAGTCGTAAGCTCGATGGCCCAGGATCCGTAGTATTGAGGTGCAAGTTGTTCATATCCAGTTTTCTTGTGAGTCCAGAGATGCTTGTAAGCACCGGCCTCACGAGTGTGCTCCTGATCGACTCTAGAGGTAACCTTCCAGGGCCCTTGATTCATTCCGTACTTGAAGGGGTAGAACATCGCATCGTACACCTTGAGGATCGCAAGCTGAACCACGGTCAAGCGCTCCCCGTCGATAGGTACTATGAATGGGGCCTCGCCGGCAACGTCTGGTTGTTTCTCACTCCGATCCCCTCGAGATGAAGTTGAACTACCCGCATTCTTCTGGTCGAAAATGTCTCCAACATACCGCTTCGCCCGTTTGCGTTTATCTGTGAGATACTGTCTGAAAGTACCTTTCTGCTTCTTGTACGTTAGGTCCTCGTGTTTGGCTCCGTCATCGTATTTGGCTTCGTCAACTTTACACAAAATGACCTGAGCGCCGGCAACAGGGCCGCCGGATATTGGTTTTCACGACGGTGAGGTGGACTGTAGCCTTGTCTTGGGTGGGATCAGGATTGCTGATATGTCGATCGTGATAGACTAAGCCGGTGCGAGAGAGGCGCTTTTCGTCTTCGGACAGAACTTTGTCATCGCTGTCGATGCCTGGAGGATTGGGATACTCAGAACGGCCGTAAGTTCGGCGCGGAGCTTGATAGGTGAGCACCAACTTGCTTCCCTTCTCGTATTGTTCGAAGTCTTCGGACAAGCTGGAATCGTCGATGAAAGGCCCATGTTGTGATTGAGTTGCGGGCTCCGTGTCGGTGGGAAGTTGTTCACTTAATCGCGGTTCCGGTTCCGGTTCCGAATGCAGTTGAGGTTGCTCGTCTGAGAGCTGAGTCTGCTTCTTCGGGGTCTGCTCGTCCGTTGACGGCAGCTGCTTGCCTTTGGACGGACCATCCTCAGACCCAGACGGCGGGGTATGATAATTCGCCTCTCAATACCTTACTTCTAGTTCTATCACTCCTACTCTCCGCCATCTTGACTGTCTTCGTCACTCAAGGGAACTTGCTCTCTATATATGAAAGGGACACTTTTACGTGGACCGGCATCCTATTCTGTCGTCTACTTGGTAGGGTATAGTCTATTCCAAAGTAAAGAAGAAAAAAAACATGACAGGAAAAGCGGCATTACTCGATACCAGTCATAACCATCTTGGTCACCAAAAACTCGTCAATACCATACTTGCTTCCTTCGCGACCAAATCCGCTCTGCTTCACGCCGCCAAAGGGTGCAGCGGGATCACTGATGGCTCCTATAAGCAGCTCGTTAGCAAAAGTCTCCCATGAAATGCTCGCCCAAAAGGACGACTTACCAATATTTACGCCAACCATGCCAACCTCGAGCGCCTCCGCCACACGCCAGCACCGCGACACGTCCTTGCTGAAGAAGTACCCCGCAAGACCAACGTCCGCATCGTTAGCAAGCTCGACGGCCTGCTCCTCGGTATCAAACGCAAACAACGCCGCCACGGGCCCAAACGTCTCCTCGGAGCAAATCTTCATGCCGGGCTTCATGTCCGCCAGCACAGTGAGGTCAAAGTAGTTGGACCCCAGCTCGGCCAGGGGCTTGCCGCCGAGAAGCACGCGCGCGCCCTTGGAGACTGCGTCCTTGACGTGCTCGTCGACCTTGGCGACGGCGCGGTTGTGGATGAGCGGGCCGTGCGTCGTCTTCTCGCCGAACCCGTCGCCGATGACAAAGGTCTTGATGGCGTCGACGACCATTTGCGAGAACTGAGCATACACGCTGCTGTGGACCAGGATCCGGTTGGCGCACACGCACGTTTGGCCCGAGATTCTGAACTTGGACGCGATGAGTCCCTTGAGCGCCGCGTCCAGATCGGCGTCTTCGAAGACGATAAAGGGGGCGTTACCGCCGAGCTCAAAGGACAACTTCTTGAGCGTCGAGGAGCATTGGTTCATCAGCAGCTTTCCGACGCCCGTTGAGCCGGTGAAGGACACCTTCTTGATGACCGGGTGCGTCGTCAGCACCTTTCCCACGGAGACGGTGTTGTCCAGGGCCGTGATGATGTTCACCACGCCCGCGGGGATCCCCGCGCGATGAGCGAGCTCGGCGAGGGCCAGCGCCGTCAGGGGTGCCTCGGCAGGGGCCTTGACGACAACGGTACACCCGGCCGCCAGCGCGGGGCCGACCTTGCGCGTGATCATGGCCGCGGGGAAGTTCCACGGCGCAATGAGACCGCAGACGCCGACCGGCTCCTTGAGCGTCACGAGGCGGCAGCTCGGGTTGCTCGCCTGGATGGTGTCGCCGTAGATCCGGGGCGCCTCCTCGGAGAACCACTCGAAAAAGGAGGCGGCGTAGCCGACCTCCGTCTTTGCGTCGGCCAGAGGCTTGCCGTTCTCCAGGGTGATGATCTTGGCGAGGTCGTCGGCGTTGTCCATCATGAGGTCGAACCATTTCCGGAGGAGGCGCGCTCTGGCACGTGCCGGGGTCTTGCGGAAGGACTTGAAGGCATCGTGGGCGGCGAGGATGGATGCTTCGGTGTCGGCCTCGTCGAATTCGGGACACTTTGCTACCTCGGTGAGGGTTGAGGGGTCTGATGAGAAGTGTTAGCTTTGGCTGCCCATTCCGAGTATACGCGGTAGAAGTGTACTCACTCTCGACTGAGAAGACCTTTTCAGATTTGGCGCCAACCCATTGTCCGTTGACGTAGCATGACGTCTTCAGCAGAGAAGCATCTTTCAACTGTTGCAAATGAATGAGTACTAGGTAAGCAACCGCATGACGTTCATTGACGAACTCATGTCCTTTGACGGCAAGACCCCACTTACTTGGTGTGCGACTGATGCCATTGTGAGTAAAAGTAATGCACCTCGATTTTGGTTCCTGCAGAAAAGTTGTCTGATGTCTACAAGTCTACCGCGGCAAGCCGGACAGCCTCATGCGGTCGACTGTTTATATGAACTCTCTCACGATGGCGTCAAAGTTGGCGGCAATGCGACATCGTTGTGCCTGTCTGATACCGGTGTGGGAACGACAATTGTGGTTTTTGAGTGGGACCGGCCCGGGCCCGGAGTGGGGCATTCGGAGGGGGGGTTTGACACATCTTGTGATTTGAACCCGCTGAAAATGGCAAGAAATCAGACCAATTCTGTACACTAAAACTTTCGCCCCGAAAACGCCTCAATGCACAATGTGTTTGACATGAGCCGCAATCGGGATTTTGAGGATGGGCCATGCTAGATTCAATGGAGATTTGGCGGGGGTTTCTCTTACGTCTAGGCCTAGGCCCGGATGGGGCGCCGGTTCGGGACCGGCCGGCTCGTGCCCGGCTCTCATAGATCGAGGGGCGAACGGAAGCTCTCGGGCATGACCACGGACGATAAATACTCGATCTCCCAACACTTGACGATTAGTTTCCTTATCAAACAAGCTTCACGAGTCTCTAAGAAAAACGGCAAACACTACATCGCACCTTCTCCAAGACTCGTTTACAAGATCACCATATCTCAGTTGCTCAGATAAAGACCAGACCTTCAAGATGCCTGCCGTCATTGAGCACTCAGTCACCACGGAGGTCCCTGGACCCATCTCCAAGGCTAGCGCCAAGAAGCTCGACACCTTCTTCGACGCCCGCGCCATCCACTTCGTCGTCGACTACGACAAGAGCTCCGGAAACTAGTACGCAGCAACCGCACGGCTGTTTCGGTAGAGAATCAAACTAACAACAATACTCTGCAGCATCGTCGACGTTGACGGCAACAAGTACCTCGATGTGTAAGTCTGATATCCCCCGGAGCCGCAGCCGCCGATCACCTCGCCCGGCACACCCATCGACCCGCATCTCGCTAATCTCCCCCTTCTCAAAACAGCTACTCCCAGATCGCCTCCATCCCGGTAGGCTACAACAACCCCACCCTCATCGCGGCCGCCAAGTCCCCCGAGATGATCTCCGCCCTCGTCAACAGACCCGCCATCGGCAACTTCCCCTCGGGCGCCTGGCACGACCTCCTCCAAGACGGCCTCATGAAGGCCGCCCCCGAGGGCCTCAACCACATCTTCACCGCCCAGTCTGGCTCCGAGGCCAACGAGCTGGCCTACAAGGCCGCCTTCATGCTCTACCGCCGCCGCGAGCGCGGCGAGGCCGAGTGGTCCCACGAGGAGATCCACTCGTGCCTGCACAACACCACGCCCGGTTCCCCCGAGCTGGCCATCATGAGCTTCAAGAACTCGTTCCACGGCCGCGGGTTCGGCAGTCTGTCCACCACGCGCAGCAAGGCCGTGCACAAGCTCGATATCCCGTCCTTCAACTGGCCTCAGGCTTCTTTCCCCGCGCTCAAGTACCCCCTGGACAAGTACGCGGCCGAGAACGAGGCCGAGGAGAAGCGCTGCCTGAAGGGGGTGGAGGAGCTGATTCAGAGCTGGCACTGCCCTGTTGCTGCTGTTATTGTTGAGCCTATCCAGTCCGAGGGCGGTGACAACCACGCTTCCCCCGCCTTCTTCCAGGGTCTGCGCGACATTACGCAGAAGCATGCTGTTGTCATGATTGTTGATGAGGTCCAGACTGGTGAGTAACTCTCGTTGACACGAAAGCTGTATGCAGTCTTACTCATGTGATTGGTAGGCTTCGGTGCCACTGGCAAGTTCTGGGGCCACGCTCACTGGAACCTGACCTCCCCTCCCGATATCGTCACCTTCTCCAAGAAGGCCCAGACTGCCGGCTACTACTTTGGCGACCGCATGCTGGTCCCCGACAAGGCCTACCGCCAGTTCAACACGTATGTTCCCCAAATGTCCTCATATCTCTTCAATCGTCGCTAACGAACCTGCAGCTGGATGGGTGATGCCGCCCGCGTCATCGTCTGTAAGGCAGTCATTGACGAGATCCGCGAGAAGAAGCTCGTGGAGCAAACCGTACGTGAACCATTCCAGAAGCATGATGACTTACAACTCACACGTGTTACAGGCTCGCGTTGGTGAAGTCCTCTACGCCGAGATGGAGAAGCTCGCCCAAAAGTACCCCGACCACGTCATGAACCTTCGCGGCAAGGGCCAGGGAACCTACGTCGCCTTCGACACCCAGAGCGCGGCGGCCGTCACGGGCATGATGAAGCGCCTTGGCGTCAACATTGGTGCTTGCGGCAAGGAGACCATCCGTCTCCGCCCCATGCTCATCTTCGAGGAGGCACATGGTAAGTTCTCTTGATGGAAACCTACCTTACATAATCAGGAATCTAACACACATCTCTACAGTTCCCATTTTGATCTCTGCATTTGAGAAGACCTTTTCTTCATTGTAAACAACATTATCACGAAAGCATGGCATGGACGGGAAAACAAAAAATTGGCGGATTAGCATAGCATGGATTTACAGCTCCGACGGTAGACCCAAGGTGGGGATCACAGTATAGGAAGCTTCTCTTATTGATACCATAATGACAGAGCCATTGACGGCCTTGAAAACTTAAATCTCTCTATACGCTTCTCATAATGATTTTGTTGAAATGTGCAAACCTGGAAGATGGATGGCCGGCGCATGGTTTCCTACTTAAAATTAGGCGTCAAATCATAGCTATCATCAATAGTTCCCACCGTCGTCCTGGTACGGATGGCTGACTCATGTAACTCTAGAAACGTCCTATAAGATCAAGCATCTAACAGCTACTTTACCAACGATCGTTGAGTCTCAATCCTCCTCGACGAGCAAACCACACATTTCAGTGTACCCATTCAGAATACCGATTTCCACAATCTTTGTCCGAAAGATGGGCAGTCGGGTAAGCCAACCACCGCAACGCACAATCTGAGTCGGGGAGGGGGATACTGACGACCGGGCGGAACCAACGGGTAGCGCGGCCGGCGGCCGGTAGCTTATCATGCAACAGCCGGGAATTGCCTGTGATCTCTTTCCTCGGGGCTCCCCCTCTCTCGGGACTGGACGCCCCGTCGAGTGATACGCAACCGGTTCATCGGATCCGCCAGACCAGCCGGCTGGGGTAACAGGGGTCTATCGCGGCAATGGCACATGCTGCGGTACCCCGCTCATCCCCGCGGGCCCAGGCGCCGAGATAGGGCGATGAGGCGCGCCGGTGATGAGGCTATCTATAGCCCAAGTGTCTTATTCATGGATGAGATGTTCGTGATGGTCGCATATAAACCTTCAAGACCATATTCGCAATCATACAAACTCACCATACTCAAAATAACTTCTTCACACAACCAAAATCACCTTGTGAATACTCCTTCACTATCACACACACACACACACACACACACACACACACACACACATCACATCACACAACCCCAAATATGTCATCACCAAGAAAACACGTCGTCTTCGACATCGTAGGCACCTGCATGTCCTACGACGCCATCCCCCGCGCCATCGAGACCCGTCTCGGCCCCAAACTCGCAGAACACAACATCAAGCCCGCCCTCCTCAGCTTCGCCTGGATCGAGGCCGCCGAGCGCGAATACACCTACCTCTCCATCCAAGGCCGCTACCGCCGCTTCTACGACATCTTCCGCAGCCTCTTCTACCGCATGCTCTTCCAAGCCGGCGTCCCGGAACCGCGGAAGCTCGCCACCGACGACGACGTGGCCTACATCATGGACCGCTTCCTCGAGCTCGAGGCCCGGCCCGGCACAAAGGAGTGCTTCACGCTCCTGCGCGAGGCCGGCTTCACAGTCTGGGCCTTCACGGCCGGCGACGCGAAGCGCGTGGGCGGGTACTTTGCCAAGGCAGGCATCGACATGCCCGCGGAGAACCTCAAGAGCTGCGACGCGGACGGCATCGGCAAGCCGGATCCCAGGGCGTATAAGCCCGTGCTGGAGAGCTTTGGCGGGGAGGAGGCGTGGTTCGCGGCCGCGCACATGTGGGATGCGTCGGCGGCCAAGGGGTGCGGGTTCAAGGGGGCGTGGTGCGCCGTGTACGAGGGGGAGCCGTGTACGGATTTGTTTGGGGAGATGGATGTCATGGCGACCGAGTTGCCGGAGATGGCGCGGAAGATTATAGCCGCGTCGGAGGGGGCGGCCGCGGCGTAAACGGCGTAATGGTAAGGTATCCGTACTCTCCTAGAGGGGGGGAGGGGGGTCACGGGATGTTTATTTCCTCGGTCTCGCACTCGAAGCGGCAAACCCCCGTAATAATGAACAAAATGACCAATCTTGATGCTTTGCTTTCTACCGTGAGCAAGATATCGTTCTCGGGTGTTGGTTGGAACTTGGTGGTGATTCGCTGTGCATACCTTGCATGTCACTGGACGCCTGCGATTTGCTCATCATACTAAGAGGGGGAGGGGAACAGAAAGAGAACCGGCAAATTGCCGGTCCCGTACTCCCCGCCGCCGGTTCGGCCTCCGGTCTCGGCCACTCGCCGTGTTTTCCGTCACAACGCCCCCAAGAAGCGCTAACATCCACCCGTGACCCGGAGCTGGGACCAAAGAGATATCGGTGGGGATGGATCCCATGCCCGAATCATCTTATCTTAGTTTTCCGACTTCAATGCTCCTTATCAGTCCCAGTCGAGCATCAACGGCACGTTTGTTGAACGAAAACGTGCCGGTTCGTTTTGATTAGTAGTAGCGCCAGCCCAAAGAAGCGGCTTCCGAATCTCTTCTGCACGCTTGTCTCCCCCAACATTGGTATATAGAAAGTCCACACATATTGCTTATCAGCTCGAGCCTCACTTCTAGCCTGCCTAGTAAACCTTTGCCCCTCCTTTGTGAAAGCCCGAAAGAAGCCTGCCAAGCCCACCTACCGCCTCTCATCCAGTCACATCCCATCGTCATGCCCGCACCAAAACCGACGAACCGGAACCCGGTTCCCAACCCCGTCACCTCCTTCTGGAACGCCGCCCCCCGGGCCCTCGACGACCACCGCACAACCCCGGAGCTCCCCGCCACGAGCGACATCGTCATCGTCGGCGCCGGCTTCGCGGGCGTCGCCACGGCCTACCACATCCTCAAGGACAACCCGTCCCCGCCGTCCATCACCATCCTCGAGGCCAGGAAGGTCTGTTCCGGCGCCTCGGGTCGCAATGGCGGGCACGTCAAGCCCGACACGTATTTCCAGGTGCCCAAGTACACCAAGCTCTTTGGGCCCGAGCAGGCGGCCAAGTTGGCTGCGTTTGAGGCCTCAAATGTGTATGCCGTCAAGGAGCTTGTAGAGAGCGAGGGGCTGGATTGCGATTTTCATCTGACGCGGGCGGTTGATGTGTATCTTGACCCGGAGCATGCCAAGGAGACTGAGGCTGCGTATCGGGAATTAGTCAAGGCGGGCGTTGTGAATGTGAAGGATGTTTCCTTCACTCCCAAGAAGGACGCCGAAAGGGTAGGTCTATCTGCTCCGCTTACATCGATGGTGAAAGATGTAGCTCATCATCCAAATGCAGGTTTCAGGAGTGAAAGGCGCGCAGTGCGCCTTCTCCTTCACGGCAGCACATCTATGGCCAGCAAAGATGGTCCACCAGCTCCTAGACCGCCTCCTCCAACAGGGGCTGAACCTGCAAGCCAACACGCCAGTAACATCAGTCTCGTCAACGCCCGACGCCGCCGGCCGCTGGACAGTCCAGACCCCGCGCGGCGCCATCAGCGCAGGTAAAGTCGTCGTAGCCACAAACGGCTACACGGCACAAGTCCTCCCGCAATACGAAGACCGCATCGTCCCCGTCCGTGGCCTCTGCAGCCGCATCACCAGCCCGGGCGGCCCCAACAGCCCGCACCTGGTCAACACGTACGGCATCCGCTTCGACGCGCGGAACAACGACTACCTCATCCCGCGAGCGGACGGTAGTATCGTCGTCGGCGGCGCGCGGCAAATGTTTTGGCATAAGCGGGGCGAGTGGTTCGACAACGTCCGGGACGACGAGCTGGTCAAGGGCGCGGCGCCGTACTTTGACGGGTACATGCAGAGACATTTCCGCGGGTGGGAGGAGAGCGGCGCGACGACGGAGAGGGTGTGGACGGGTATCATGGGGTATAGCTCTGATTTCATGCCGCATTTGGGCGGTGTGCCTGGGAAGCCGGGGCAGTTTATCATTGCTGGGTTTTCTGGTCACGGGATGCCGGAGATTCTGCTCTCGAGTAAAGGCGTGGCGGCCATGATTCGCGATGGGGCTTCTTTTGAGAGCACGGGGCTGCCGAGTATCATGGAGACGTCGAAGGCGAGGATCGAGAGGAAAGATAGTCCTCTTGAGGACGGGCTCAAGTCTCTGTGGGAGGATGACTTGAAGGCGAAGCTGTGAGCGATTTGTATCCATAGCACGGTGGTAATTAATAAAGATGTCAAGTTAATATCAGATTGAGTTACTCTGTATAATTCTGTTGCTCGTGCTCGTCAATGCTTTTATTTGTCCATTTTCTCGTCCTCTTCAACGAATTGCATGACCACCAATTGCATCTCTAGAGACCAATTGTCCAACAACACGATGTCGATTACTCACAGAATCTAGAACTTCGGTCAAATCCTCCCCCTATCTCCGCATCACGAGTCAAGTCAACTCCAGATTCTTAGGTTCCAGGGATCATTCCTCATGCACCATTTCGGCTCCGACCGGGATGTAGCCGGCTTCCCCGCGTCTTGGTCGCGAAAAACAGCGGGTCCGCTCCTCTCCGACCCCCCGCCGACCGCGGCGCTGGAGGTTTCGCCGAAATTCTGCCTCCCCGGACCCCCCCCCCCCTTTCTGGGAAAATGGGCGCGCGGCGGTGGAGGAAGAAGGAAACTAAGACTCAGAGAGAGAGTCAGCACTGCCAGCAGGCCTATCTTAGCTCCCCCTTCACACACACACACACACACACACAAACTTGGAACAACCACTGTCGTTCACTCACTCATTCCTTTATCCACCCGCATACCTTGCCCACTCACCTCCCGAGGAATTGCAAGGGCATTGAGAGAAAGACCCAAGACAAGACCAGACTTTCCTTTCTGAACACGGACTCTTCGTTACGGCGGGGTCACTTGGGAAACACTTTCCGCGGAGAGTTAAACAAACCTCCCTAAACACAAAGAAGACCAAGCCAGAGAGACAACAGAGACAGACACACACAGAGAGAGAGAGAGAGTCCTCTTCCACCGGCCCGGGTCCTCGCCTGGCCCTGTTGATCGGCACTGTCCGCTCTCTCCCTTCTCACTACAGTCCCCTTATCGGCTATTGCGACCCCAAAAAGAAGTTGTAGATGGATCCCGAGGACGGCCTGCGCCTGCAACGACACAAGCAGCGTCGCGTAGCGGATAAGGAGCGGAAGAGGGCAGTTCGAGCGTACGATGAAGCCCATTTCGTTTTTCCACGTTTTTGTTCAGTCCTTTTCATGACTAGTACTTCGGTTACGTCCAATTGATGTGAGAGAACCTCCCTCATGCTGACGCTACCAAGCTGTGACGGATGTCGGCGACTCAAAGAAAAATGCGACGGAGGAGTCCCTTGCCGCCGGTGCACCCGTCTGCGCCGGCAGTGCGAGTTCCTCACGCCCACGACGAGAGATGAGCCCGGATCGGAAAACTCGACGAGGTGAGAACTATAGAACTTTTAATCTCCTTTTGTTTCCCATCCTCCCTAAATTCAATATTGCTATGAGATCCCCTCACAATGCGATATCTGCATGCTTTCCATTTGGTTTGCGCAATTAAACATCTGGCTGACGAGGCCGGATGGATGATAATAATAGACCCCGCCCCCCGCAACATCATGAGGACGCCCAGAGAATGTCCTACATGGAGCGGCTCCTGGCGCATTACACCGGCAAGAGCACCCTCGACGCCGAGACTCTAAAGACCTTGGCCGAGTCCGTGGAGAAGATGAAGTCGTCTGGACGACCGCGCACCGGCCCGGAGGGCGCGGTGACCGGGGCCGGCGGTGGTGCTGGTCCTGAAGCGGATGTCACCATGGAGCCGGACGTCGGCGCCGAGGCAGAGGTGCAATCGCAGAGCTCCGACTCCTTCAAGGTCGACGAGATAACGGTTCAGCCTCTGGAAAACAACATCACACGTAAGGCGGGCCCCCCCTCTCTCTCTCCCCCTTCCCCTTCTCTATCTCCTCTCCTCCCCCTGCCGTACTCCCCCCCCCTCTTCCCCGGGACCGCTTCCCCGGACCGTCAACAAGCTCGGCTTTAGCATCCCGAAGGACCTCTCCCCGAAGACCGCCATGTTGACCTCCGAGCAGATTACTCCGGCGAGTTCTCACACTGGAACTTCTCCATGCGGATAAAGCAATGGATCGAACAGTGTGTAAACGTAAGCAACCCCCTTCTCGTCACAGAACCTATACCACGCGCGGGCAAATACTGACACCCCTCCCACAGGACGCTCCGGATGGTCCAAAGACACAATTCAAAGAATACTACCGCCCAGAAGAACTCCAGTCCCCCTCCAACACAGTAGCCTCCCTCTCCTCCCTCCCGCCCCGCTACGTAGCAGACTTCCTCGTCCAGGCCTTCTTCAACCATGCCGAGACGAGCTACTTTTACGTCGAGCGCCACTGGCTCATGGACAGGCTCGACCTCGTCTACGAGAACTCGGCCTCCTTGACGCGCCGCGACGTCGGTACCGTCTGCATGATCCTCATCATCTTCGCCATCGGCACGCAGTACGCCTACCTAGACTCCCGGAATGAACGGGGCGGCCCGCCGAGCGCCGCGGCCGACTCGAGCCCCTTTTCGGAGGATACCATCGGCATCATGTTCTACCAGCAGGCGTGCCGGCTGGTTCCCGACGTGATCACCATTTCGTCGCTTGAGAGCGTCCAGGCGTGTCTGCTCATCGGCCTGTATACGTTACCCCTCGACGCCTCGGGGCTGTCGTACGTCTACCTGAACCTGGCGGTCAAGCTCGCGATACAGAATGGTATGCATCGGAAGCATCCGGGGGCCGCCCTCGATCCCGTTATTCGTGAGACGAGGAACCGTGTATGGTGGACAGCCTACACGACGGAAAAGTGAGCATATCTTTGTCCCCAGGTTCACTCATATTCACTTTAATCTCCCAGGCGTATCGGCATATTCCACGGCCGGCCAGTATCCATCGCAGCAAGCGACGTCGACGCCGAACGCCCAGTCGACAGACCAGAAATCTGGCCCGGTTCAGCACCGCCAAACACGGCACACATGCTAGCAACCCTTCAGCTCAACAACGCTCTCAGCAGAATAGCTCACCAAATGTACTTCATCCCCAACTCATCTTCCTCCCCCTCATCTCACCAACACCCAACTCTCTAGATCCCTCTTCAAAACGTTTGAAAAGAATGAAATCCCAGAAGGCATGGCCAAACTCGTCGAAATGAAAGCCCAACTCCACAACTGGTGGAACAGCCTCCCAGAACCAACCTTCATCAAAGACCCAACCACCGGCCCCGCCGTCTTCCGCCCGACAATGCACCTGAGGCTAGAATACTGCCTCGTCCGCATGTTCGCCGGCCGCCCCTTCATCTTCCCCCGCGACGCGGCCCACCGCGGCAGCACAGCAAGCTCCTCCGGGTCCCCCGCAGACTCCGTCGCCATGACAGTCGCAGGCGGTCCTTCTTCCGGTGGTGCTGGTGCTGGTGCTGGTGCCGGTGCCGGTGCCGGTGCCAGCGCCAGCGGCCGCGCCACAACCAGCAGTTCAACCAGCAAAACAACACACCCGCGCGCCGTCCTCGTAGCAGACTGCGTCGACGCAGCCCTCTGCGTCGTAGAAACGTGCCGCCTCCTCCGCAACACAGTCGGCCTCGCCCGCGCCTCGTACACGGAATTCTCCTCGTGCCGCGCCGCGCTGCTCGTCATCATCACGCAGTGCCTCCAGAAGAAGACGGACCGCCTCCGCGACGCACTACGGGAAGGCATGGCGATGCTAAGGGAGATGTCGGCGGGCGGGGAGTCCGCGAAATCGGAAATGTCGCTTATTGAGGCCTTTGAGCGCGCGATTTCGAGGTTGGATATGGCTGACGAGAGCAATGGTGGTGGCGGGGGCGCGGGTGGTGCGTCCGGGGTGAAGGAGACTGATTATGCGAGGTTTAAAAAGTGGGAGATGCTGTGGAAGACGGATACGCCTGCGCAAGGGCAGGGACAAGGTGGTGATGCGAGGAGCGAGAGGGATGGGCTTGATGGCGCGGGGCTGCCGATTCCGCCGATTCCGCCGCATCCTGCGGGTTTGTGGCGGGGAGGAGGACACGGGCATTCCGGGGGAGGAGGCGGAGGTGCCGGGAGAGGAGGAGGGCATGTTGCGCCCGGCGCGGGGCGGCAGGGTACGGCGTCGTTGCCACCTGCGATGCCGTTTTTCGGGCTCGATGGGAGTCTGTCGCCGATGCCGCCTGCGCTCGACGAGTTCTCGGCCATGTTTGGGAACGGGTATGTGCCGGGGTTTGAAGGCATGGGCGGAAGTGTAAACGGGAACTGGATGGGTCTTTGAGTTCGGATTGAAGGAAAAATAAAAAGAAGCAACTAGTCGATTGAGACATTGCCTACTTACGGCCGGCGGAATCTGGAGTTTGCGTGTCTGTGTTCATTCCAAGCATCTCATCTAGGCACCTGCCTTGGATGTGAAAATATCTTCATCTCGACCGTACCTTCCACATGTAGAATCCCTACCTTTCATCTGAATACACGAGAAGGGTATATGCCCCCCCCCCTTCAAGTCCATTCCTGTCACCAGCCAGCAGGCGCCCCCTTGGGGGTCAGGTCAAAACTGGCTGGGTGGTGGAGTGGTTGAAGTCCATAAATAGCCTAATCGGTGAAGGCTTTCAGAGGTCCCATGTTCGAATTCCAGCTTGTGCATTGCTTGATATGAAGTAGAAGGCAAGGAAGGGGTGGGGTGGGATGTCGGTTTTCTTTTGGAAGTCGTCACAGGATTCCGTGTCGTATTAAAGAAAAAGAGAATCGTCATTGTTCAACAAGAGGCGGTGTATAAGTAAGAAAAGTGGTCTGACTACCACACTGACGGCCCCTCAGAGGTGGCCGGCCTCATGGCCGGCCTCCTGCAGAATACCTATTTATGCAGGACCGCGAAGCCAAGGAATAAGAACGGAACACGGAGTACAAGGGGGGAGAAAATAGTTCATGGAACAGACTCGAAAGTTCTATACAGCAATCTACAAGTTTGTGCAGAATGAACAAAGGTACTCAGATGCCGAATTTGGTATTTGCCGGTTGCGCACACTTCAAGATTGACATCACAGCAGGATCCATTGAGCACACAGGGAGCAGTCATTTTCATACAACTACATTAACATCTCAACTGTGGTCCTTGTTATGTGGTAAATAGAAGACGGCTTGAACCGAGGGGCTCAATACCTCCCAATGTGAGTATCTAAATTGAGAATTAAATGGAGAACTAAAGTAACGAACCTACAGGCTCATCATCGCCACAAAAACTAAACACGCCAAAAGTGCTCCATTGCTTCGCTCGTTATTTCTCCTCGCCCATCTTGTTCAACATGTCCAACCTGTCCAACCCAAACGCCCGCCCCCTTCACTCCGTCGGATCCCGCCCACCCTGCGCCGCCATGTTCCTCTCATACTCCTCATCCGACTCAAAGTCAATCTCAGCAGGCAGCGTAATCGGCACAATAGGGATCCCGTTCTCCTCAAGCTTCTTCAGTCTCGCCGCCGTCTCGGGCCTCGACTTGTTGATGCTGTATACCTTGATGCGGTGCGCCGAGGACGTGACGTGCAAGTCCCAGTTCCTGTGAGAGTCTCGTCGTCAGTCTCGTCATCATCATCCATCTGAATTCCCCTCCACCCATGATACTTGAATGTTCAAGCAAGAGAGGAACAAGAGAAGAAACAGAAACCGCGTTCCAAAGAAGTGAGAAGAGAAAAGGGGAAAAAGGGGACAAACATACCAAGCAGACCTCACAAAAGTAGGCTGCGTATTACACGCATTATCCCACGTCCTCACACAAAACTCCAACCACCCCTCCGCATCAACAGGCATCTCAATCTCCCACAACCGCCACGCGTGGAAATACTTGCCGCTCATCCTCTCCCACGGAACCTCATACCACACCCCGCCCCCATCACTGCTCACCTCGACTCTAACAGGCCAATGCCCGCCCCCTGAATACGCCCACCCCCTCAACTTCATCCTCCCCTCGTGCACGACCTGATCCATATCCCGCGGCGTCATGATCGCAGAGCTCACAGGCATCTCCTGGATCGAGAACCCGTTGCTGTACTTGACATTCTGCTTCCCCACCTGCGGCGTGTAGTAGATATACTCCCTCCTCTGCACCGGCGCGCTGCTCTCGCTCGCGATAGCCCGGACCCGCGTCAACCATTTCGTGCTCCGCGCCCCGATATACCCAAACACCACCGTCCGCAAGGGAAACCCGTGGATCCGGGGCAACGGCTCCCCGTTCATCTCCCACGCCAACAACACCTCGTTCGCCTTCACTTTCCGCCACGGCACGCTCACGACGTAATTATACACTTTTCCCTTCTTAAAGTACGTGTCCGCGCCGTAAAACTCCAAGTGGCCCGCGCCGTCCTTTAACCCGCCGCAGTATTTAATCACGTTTTTGAGTGATACCCCCGTCCACCGCGCCGTACCGATGGCGCCTTCGCCCCAGGGCGCGTTGATGAGCTCGTCGCCGTCGCCTGGGTACTGCGCAATCTGCTCGATGCGCCGCGTGCCGGAGCACTGGATCGAGACGACGCTCGTCTGGTGCTTGAATTTGGTCTTCAGGTCGTGCAGCGTGAGCGTTTTCGGGTCGTTGACGAGGCCGGCTATGTCGAGGGTGTATTTCGTCTCGTCGATTTCTGGGATGCCGCCGTGGTTGCGGACAAAGTGATCTTTGTTTGAGGTGATTTCCGTTTCTACGAGGCGTTTCTGCGGTTTCCGTACGTTAGGTTCTTTTGTCTGCCGAGTGGAAGGGAAATCTCAAGTACAAAGGTTGAATATGACCTACACGAGGAGGCTCGCCATTGTAAGGGAACTGGAGCACGTGAATCATGTCCTCTGCCTTTTCCTTCTTGACGATATCCCAGCTGACCTCGGGGATGTGGCCCAGCCCGCACGCGTAGTGGTACTGTTTCCATCGTTCCCCCGTGAGGATGGGATTCGTATCAGGCAGCGGTCCTAGTTGGTACTGGGGCGGCTAGAAACAGGCAGAGAGAAGTCAGTCAGCTGGGGGCTCTCTTGTACACATGACTGCGCCGGACATTGACATGTTCACACTCACATCCGGAAAGTCGTACTGCCTCATGAGCTCTTCAACCTGCTTCTTCTTCTCAGGATACTTCTCCCACTCGATATACCCCTTCCAACCCTCCCTCTCCTCCTTGAAATGAGGCGTCTTGCCCTTCGCCTTGAAGGCAATCGCGTGAGGTTCAGCAGGAGCCATGGTTGTTCAATGTGTCCAGATGGTTACAGGAAGTATGAAAGTGCAGAGTCCTATACACAGGCGTCTTAGGATAAGAGCTTGACCAGAGAAACGGGGAAAGGCGTCGTTGATAAAAGTGACCGGCCTGTCGTCCAGAGTTACCCCAAGAACAAGCCAAAAGTCAATCTCGCGCACTGGCGGAAGTCCCCCTCCCCAAGAACCGCGACATTCTCACAGGCAAACTTTCAATACCGAAGTGATGAGCCAGCCAATAGCCAGCCGTCCATTGAGAATCTGATGCCGTCATGAAGACATCAAACAACTTTCTTCTTTCTCCGGAAAGCCACTGCCGCGGCCGGCGCTAACAACCCGCATTTGCAGAATGTGTCAGCGTTGCAGGAGAGCCACGTCACCTATGCCCTCCCCCCACGCACGGGAGGAGCAATCAACTTCAGTCTTCAGATCGGGAATCTCGGTTGCAGAGATCTAGCCAAAGCCAAGAATTGTACCGTGGATGCGCGGCCGGCCGTTGTGCTACTCCACTTAGTCATGACGTTGATCGCCCAGTCCCCCCCCCCCCCCCCCCCTGTCGTTATGTCAAAACAAGCATTTGCCGTTTGGAACGCTATCACTAGACTCGGTCAAAAGTCGGTGACATATTCTGGCCTTCGACGAGAAGCCGACGAGGAAGCCGGCCGGCAGGCATTGATAAGCATGATGGGTACCGAAAATAATGACTTCAGGGTTTGAACATTAGGGATATATATATTCCGAGCGATCCGCGATGAAACGAAAGAGTAATCTAGGTAACGTGCTCCTCTCCCTAACGCCGTCAGCGTCCCATCATAGCCGCCTGCCAGAAAAAAACCAAAACAATGCAATGTCCTATCGGACTAAAAATTGACAGAAGCCACAGTTTTGAAACTGGCACTTTATGAACCTCTGACCTTCTACCGCCCTTTAGTGATGTTTCCCCCTCTTTGGGTATCGCCTCCCCTCTACACCCCCATCCTTTTTTTTTTTTTTTTCAAAATTCCTTTACTGCAGAACAGCGCCGCTCACTCTCCGGCCAACAGTCTTGATAGTCGAGTACTGTCCGTTGGCGCCCATGACGTCAAAACGACTCACGCTCATGGCATCCTCGGTATACCCTGAAAAGTAGTAGCCCACAATGACTACAAGGTAGCTAAGCAGCAGAATGCTGCCCTTGAAATAGTTGCTCTTTCCCTCACCATACATGTAGCTGAGGAGGAACACGCAGATGATGACCGTCACCATGTCCCACTGGGGGAACAGGAGTGAGAAGGTGTGCGCAGCGACGTCTTCGAAACGATCAGAGGTGACGTAGATTGCAGAGAATAGCACAAGGGCTGGGACTTGCAGCAAGCAAACTTGCAGCGCATAGGCAGAACCAATCTCCATTGAGAGCGCAATATTGCCGTTCATAGCAAACGAAATGGCGTTCTACAAAGCGTTAGTCAATATCAAAGTGTGGATTAGCAGGTTAAACATACCAAAAACTCAGTCGTGTTGGGAACCAGTGCGAAAAGTGTGATGCCCAAGAACTTCTCATCGATAGCGAAGCCCTCAAGAACGACGTCTACAGTGTCCACCAAGATCTCGGCAATGATAGCATAGAGTACGGTAGCTCCCATGAGAATGAAGGCACTCTTGCCTCGGCTCCAGTTGGGAGCGTCGTGTCCACCATGGGGTGCTTGGACAGTGCTGGCTGCTGCGAGTTCTTCGTTATCGGCAACCGTAGCGGTACGCGGAGCCGGAGGGCGGGAGGAGGTAGCAGCAGTTGAACCTGCGGGGAGAGCCGAGGTTCTGCGAGGCATCCGCTCTCTTGCGGCAATTGTAGCTGCAGTGGCCGCCATCTCTGCTACCTCTCGGACCAAAGCGTTGTTCTCCGCCTCTGAAAACCCGGGGATGTGGACCGTAGAGCGGACCGTATCGCTCCCACTGGACTTGGGGGGAACGACGTGCGGGATACTGACGCCGCCATTGCCAGCACTCAATCCCAGTCCGGTGACGGACCCCTGGCGAGAGCCGTCATCTTTCTTGTTTGCAAGGCCAACCTGCTTCAGCGACTGACCGAGGATGCGTTTGTAAAGATGAGAGTCGCGGACGTCGACCGAGGTGCCGGTGGTCTCGGCAAATGAGTGAGGACCCGACTGTCTGGCGTGAGCTTGCGCATGAGCCTGTGCGTGTGCCTCTTCGTGCTTCTTCTCGTCGATTTCAGAGTGCCAAATGACTGCAGCGTGGGTTCGCAGCGTGAACCAGAGTCCCACAATGTAGGAGAGGAACAACAACGTGGCGCAGAAGTAGCAGAACGGGCGGACAGCCTCAATATAGAAACGATCATTCAGCGCTGGAGTCTGGGAGAAGAAGCATCGCTTGCAGTCGCGCCCATCCCCGACAGGAGACAGACCTCCCCCAATGCCGCCGTGGTTGACACAGTCCAAACAGTTGAGCTCGTGAGTGCCGTAGATTTGGTAGAAGAGCGTGGGGCCAAAGGCGCCGAGGACTGCGAAAAGCAACATTGTCGAAGTGACACCGGCAGACCTGGCATTGAAGCGCTGCGTCTTGCGCTTGATGGCACCGAAACACATGGAGAGGCCCGGGAGGAAAAGAATACCGGCGAAAATGCTTCCCACGATGCTGCCTTCCACCAGTTGACCTTTGCCTTGGGTCAGGGCAACGCAGTAAAGGAACACCTCAACAATGGTGGAGAAGAAAGCATTGATAGCAGCGCCAACACCCATCGAAGACTGTGCCGAGATGGAGGCGACGGCTTGGCCGATGAAGTAGGCGAGCGGAACGATGGAGAATAAGCCGGCAATGAAGAGGAAAGCGGGTGACGTGATGAAGAGCTCCAAACCAAGAACTTGGTCGAGAACAAGATAGTCAAAGATGACGAAGAAGACAACTCCCATGAGGTTGATCAAGAACACGTTCGTGCCGTCAATGGTATACTTCCAGTACTTGATACCGACAGCGCGGTACGTGCACAGCAAGATTGACGAGTGCGGCGTGTCAGCTGTGCGGGCGAGAACGATATCAGACTCGAATGAGAGCGCCAAGGGGTGGCGGCGCAATTGGTCGAAAAGCAGCATGGTGACCTTGCCCATTGGGATCGAGAAGACGAGGAACCAGCAGATCAAGGATACCAGGATCAACGAGGGCGAGAGCAAGAGGTAGAAGAACAGGAAGAAGACGACGCGTCCAATGTTCCACTGGCCTCTTCCGAACAACCGGCGTTTGATCTGGGGTGGTGTCTGGCTTCGCTCCCCGCGTCGAGAACGGCCCAGGAGGCTGTCAGTCTCGCTCGGTTCCGAGTCGATGCTCCTCCGCGAGCGTCCAACAATGGATCGGCTGCGTTCGGATCCCTCCGGACCAAAGAAGAGGCGGCCGTATTCCAGATCACCACTCTGCCACTGCTCATACTCGGAAATGCTTCGTCCTTCGCCTTGGTCCTCGTCAAGGTAGGCGTCATCCTGCTCCAGGCGCACATATTTGCCGAATGGATAGAAGAGATAGCCAGCCAAGCCCCAGAGAACTCTGCCGTATTCCCTGCCGCTAGGAGTTGCTGCGAACAAGAAGCAAACCAGGGCGCCGAGAGCCGAGAAAGCAGCCATCCACCAACCAAACAACAAGGTCCAAAGAAGGTTGAAGAAGACAAGCCAGGTGTGAACTCTTCCGCCAGGCGACGAATGAATATCGCCCTCGGCATTCTTCTGCACCGAACGATCTTTCTTGTACAACGCAGGCTTCCACAACCTGATGCCAAAAGGATGGGTCTGGTTGATGGCCTGCTGACGATCCTTGAGCGTAAAGCTCTCGGCGTCGCTCACGTCGCCATCTGACTCGGCATCAATGTCCTCTTCATCAGGGTGTATCGAAGGAACGCGCTCAGCATCCTCGGGGGTTTCGTCGTCAGCTCTCGGCGTCCGTGGACCATCTTCGACCTCATCATTGTCGTCGTCGTCGTCGTCATCGACTCCAGTGTCGCTGCGGGAAGATTGGACGCGCGACAGAGTGGTGGCCAGTTGAGGTCGGCGGCGGGTGCCAAAAGCGGTGCTGCCCTGGCGGCTTTGATGGCGGCCAACGGCATCTGCCTCGACCTCATTGATGTCGTCGTCAACAGAAAAGAACTCGCCGCGGTGTGGTGCTGATGGGTTGGTCGACAGTCGACGGGGCATGGGAGGCTTTCGCGGCTTCGCGGCTTTGGGGCGTTCGGGACCCATCATGGGCGATCTAGCACTAGCAGTTGTTGTCGAGCGAGAATGCGATCGATCGTGGGCAGACGGGTCGCCCAGGTACTGAGAGCCGGAACCTTGGGTATGTATAGAACCTGCAAGCGCACGGGGGTTATGATATCAGCCAGGGGGTTTCCGCGTTGGGCGACTGGGTAACTCGGACGACCAAGACTTGTTTGGTTTCTGGGCGTGCAACACAAGCAGCGGGTCGTACGTACCGTAGCCACCACCTTCTGGGCGCCTCCGCACCGTGTCGGTGGACTGGAAGGACTGGAAACTTTCGGACAGACCTTCGTCGCGGGAGGCGACATACGAGTCGAACCTCGAGGGCTGATGACGAGTATCAGTGGGCGATGCGGTGGTCGAGCTATCGTGGGACTGATGAGATGGATGGGACGGTGTGCCCGGCCCTGTTGAGGGATCCATGGTGGGCGACAACGAATAGGGCGACGAAAGAGCGCGCAGCTGTTTGGGGACGATGGAGCAAGATGGGTGGAGGAGATTGGCAAGGTGCCGGAGATGTGGGTTATCAGTGCAGGCGCAGGCGCGGGACGAGACGGCAACCCGGGGGTGGGAGAAGAGAGCGTCGGGAGGGTGGTTTCGAGCTTGGAATTCTCGATGTTTTTTTTTGCTGTCTTGGAACGGCGAGCTGGTGATTAAGCGATATGAGGAGAAGAAACTTGGGAGGGGAAGAAAAAAGTTGTATTGTTGTGTGTCTGTGCCAGTTAAGGTGGTGTACGAGGTGCGGTTGGGTTTAGGTAGGTCCAGGTCCAGGTTCAGGTTCAGTCAGGTTTGGGCTCAGTCCAGTGAGAAATGTGAGGATTACTCGGAGAGCCCGATTATGGGTCGAGGAGTCGGTGACGGTGACGGTGACGGTGACGGTGTTGGTGTCGGTGTCGGTGTCGGTGTCGGCGTCGAGGCTCCCCCCAGCTGGATATCTGACGGGTCTCAGTCTGGTAGCCGAAGGCTTATTGCTTATAAACAATGGAGAGAGGGAGGACTCGGAGAAAGATTGAACAGGCGAGCCAGGAACAATAGGTGAGGTAGGCAGACCGCAGACCGTAGTAGGTAGGTGACTGTGGTGGTGTGGTGTAAACAAGCTAAGTATCCGTAGAAGGGGTCCAAAACACACAAATACACGATGGGGAAGAAGAGGACGACCGGGGGACGAGAATGAGAATGATGATGGGATGATTAGGCCTAATGTCTATCGGGTTCGAGAAGAAAGGTGTGGACTTGTTCCATTCCCGTGCGGTGGAAAATGTTTCTTGGGCAAGGTACAGACGGACACACAGACAACGGGATCCTTCTATCTGTAAGGTATGTAGAATGTCGAATAAGAAGTACGAGGCACAAGGTATCGATGGATGACCCGAATCACCGATGCTGCAATTTGTGGTGGTGGTCGCTGGTGGAAGAGGTGGTGGAGCAGGAGTTCGTACCATGGAAGCTACTTGCCGGCTAACGGTGGCTGCTAGGTAAGCTAAGGTACCTATTGTGTTCCACTAGGATCTACTCCGTACCTCAGTACTTGCCTTACTCTCTGAGTCTCTGATGTGTGTGCCGTACTTGGAGGAGAGGAGCGGAATGCTTGGGTCTCTCCTCCCCCAGATTCACACATATTTACGGAGCATCACGCCTCATTAAGGTGAGGAACTTGCAACAGCCCGGAAGCACTGGGCAAGGCAGTGGAGGAACTGGAGGTGGGATGGAATGTCTGAGTCAGGCGCTGCCCACTGTTGATCAAGCCGCAACCCCAAGTCTCTCAACTGGCGGTCATGTGTGCTCTCTGGATGGCCTCAGATGGCGACTCTCTTCTCAGAAAAGCATGGAAGATGCTTTTATTGGCCTCGCGAGAGGAGCGAGGACCACCGCGAGGCTGTTTCTCCTCCGCAATGTACTTGTCATCGGGGCCGAAAGACTAGGGAAGATGGACAGGAGATCCCTCGTTTGTCAGTGTTGCCAACAGGCATGGCCGGTTTGATAACCTTTGGTTGGTGTTTACACTTGCGACTTGCACACACACACACACACACACACACACACACATAACACTTGGCCTTCTTTTCTTCCCTTACTTTCAGCGGGCGGTTGATAGGACCAAGGTGCCAAGGTAAAGAGTACATGCACATTGAATCGTGCAGCGGCACGCAATTTGGGGGAGGATTACCTTAGGTTCCCGAGTGGAGATCACTGGTGCTTTGCAAAGACACGCCGCGCACCTCACTTGGGGCTCGAAGGGGAAGGGGATAAACACTTGGATTCAGCGTGAAGGCGGCGAGGAAGCGGACGGTGGAACGGGAGAATGGATCATGGACCCCGTCCCGAACCAGACTAGCGCCCGCGTGCTTCAGAGTCGCCGCTGGCGCAGGGTGCAACCTCCCATCAGCCGCGACTGGCGAACCTCGATTCCTCGACTCTCGAGTCCCTGCTCCCAGTGCCCATCCTCCTTCTATCGGGGTCCGTCGCGGCGTCGCCTCCCACACCTTCATCAGCACTCCTCCCGTCTTATCCTCGACTCGACCTTACCTCAGCCTTCCATACCAGGCCTTCACGGCTATCACCGCCTCTTGGACTCTTGGACTCTTGGAATATGCATCCCGCGCGCCTTGTGTCATCTATCTGTCCATGATGATTCGACATCTTTTACGCTCCACTCGCCCAGTTGCTCGACATGTGCTTTGATCTCGTGCTGTGCTCCACTTTCCCAACTGGGAGAGCAAACGTCACCGTACTCGCAGGCGCATTTAGTGTTCCATTGCACCTTCTCTTGCAGCAACATGGAACCCTGTGAACAATTACACACGGACCATCTCTCTTTCCACGGAGCGGGACCCATCAAGATGGGTGGGTCCTCCAACCGGAAAATGGGAAATCTCCTCTTCCGAGAAACTGATTACTTAAGACTCTGATTGCTCTCAGAATACGTCCGAGCTCAAGCTTGAAAAGCAAAAAGTGGACCGGAGCTTTTCCGGAATAATGACCATCACGTGATGCCCGGTCCTGTCGAACGCGTCGACGGTCGTTTGCCTGCTGCGGGTTGCGGCTGACTGACCGACCGACGGAGCCAGCCAGCCCAGCCAGCCGTCCAGCCCTGTCACTCCCAATCCATCTGTGAGCTTCCACAACGACAAGCTTCCATCATCACGACACAACCCACCCACCACCACCACCACCACCCCCGGCAACCTCAATCATTCAACCCATCACGACCCCGCCCCCGACGACCGATTGATCCCCCCCCTCACTGGTCCCCGATAAATCCATACCGACGGCAGTGACAACAACCAACATCACCACTACTACTCGTCTCCTTGCTCAACCCTCGGGGCATCCATCACGATGGCGCTCGACAGCTACTATCAAAACAAGATCGAGGCGATGAAGCTCGAGATCCTTAAGGGTCAAGCAGTTCTCCGCCGTCTCGAAGCCCAAAGAAACGACTACAACTCCCGCGTGAGGCTACTGAGGGAAGAGCTTGGTCTGTTGCAGCAGCCTGGTTCCTACGTTGGTGAGGTCGTCAAGGTCATGAGCACGAAGAAGGTCCTGGTCAAGGTGCATCCCGAAGGCAAATACGGTATGTCACTCGCTCACCAGTCCATCGTGCGATGCAGGTCGTTGTATCCCACCCCGACCTCATCCTCACTAGTCTCAATCTTGCCAGAATGGCCAAACTAACCCCTCGCAGTCGTCGACATCTCTGACAATGTCGACATCACAAAGCTCACCGTCGGCAAGCGGGTAACCCTGCTTTCCGATAGCTACAAGCTCGAGAAGATGCTCCCCTCATCCGTCGATCCCCTCGTCTCCCTCATGATGGTCGAGAAGGTCCCCGACAGCACGTACGATATGATTGGTGGTCTGGATCAGCAGATCAAGGAAATCAAGGAGGTCATCGAGCTCGGTCTCAAGCACCCTGAGCTGTTTGAGTCGCTCGGTATCGCACAACCAAAGGGTGTCCTTCTCTACGGTCCCCCCGGTACGGGAAAGACGTTGCTCGCCCGTGCCGTCGCACACCACACCGACTGCAAGTTCATCAGGGTGTCCGGTTCCGAGTTGGTGCAAAAGTACATTGGTGAGGGTAGTCGCATGGTCCGCGAGCTCTTCGTCATGGCCCGCGAGCACGCCCCCTCCATCATCTTCATGGACGAGATCGACTCTATCGGTTCCTCCCGTGTCGAGGGCTCATCCGGCGGCGACTCCGAAGTCCAGCGCACCATGTTGGAGCTCCTGAACCAGCTGGACGGTTTCGAACCCACCAAGAACATCAAGGTCATCATGGCCACCAACCGTCTCGATATCCTCGACCCCGCCCTGCTGCGTCCCGGACGTATCGACCGAAAGATTGAGTTCCCCCCGCCAAGCGTCGAGGCCCGTGCCGACATTCTCCGCATCCACAGCCGCAAGATGAACCTGACGAGAGGCATCAACCTCACAAAGATTGCCGAGAAGATGAACGGCTGCTCCGGTGCCGAGCTCAAGGGTGTCTGCACAGAGGCCGGCATGTACGCCCTGCGCGAGCGTAGAGTTCACGTCACCCAGGAGGACTTTGAGCTCGCCACCGCCAAGATCCTCAACAAGCACGACGACAAGGAGGTGTCACTCGGCAAGCTCTGGAAGTAAGTGCGTGCGTGTTTGGGAGTTATGCAACGGCGGAGAGGGAGAGGAAAAGCAGCAAACGATCGACGACGACATGTTTACTCGGCTGGCGGGAGTCGGACAGGCAGGGCGGGCAGGGCAGAAGAAAGGCGGAGAGTGGGAAAGGAGACGCCGGAGAGGCGGCGGTGGAAACAGCGTCTGCGCCCATTGCGCGCGCATGTGGCGCTTGTACGGCTAATTATGTACGACTACATAGAATCATGGAATCAGCCACCATGACTTTGCACCGTTCATTACATTTCTCTTCTTTCCCCTTGGTGGATGGAGGTGGTGGTAACCGGCGATGCCACGTTCCGACCACAGTGACCTCACCTCGCCTTTGACCAACGCACGGCTGCATACTCACAACTCGCAAATCCAAGATGCCCCACCAAATACTGTCAATCATCGCCGTTTTCCCACCCTTCTACCCCTCGTCTTATCCGCCCATCTAGTACACCGTCTTGGAGAGGGATGCATGTCCTTAGTCCTGGGGCCGCCCCTTTAGATGGATTGGAATAAGGCGCTGGTGTACAAGGAGAATGTCAGATGGCAAGGAGGTGGAAACCCCCGTCCCGAGACGAGCGACCAAGAGACAATTCGCTCAGAGAAAAGTCAGATGGATGGATATTTACCTTGGTCTGGTTTCATGTTTCCTCACAGCAATTGTCTACACATTGAACATACGTCCACTTCACTTTACATTAATCAAACTCCAGGGTATGAGGTCAATGGGGGAGCAAGCCGAGAGGCGGGCCCCTCTACTCTCTTCCTCTCTCTCTCATTCA